AGACCGGCTCCTACGTGGCTGGAAAATGTGCAGTGCGGTGGCAGAGGCATGTAGCTAATTCAGGTAACCGGAAAACTGGCTTTTATTACTCCTGCTGCTGCTCAGATGTGCCCGTCTCCGCCAGTAACTCGCAGCAAGTTTTGTGCTGGGCTGGTGGCGTGTGCTCCTTTTCCTCCTTTCTTCTATTTATTTATTTTATTTTTCCCAAATGGGACAGGGGGAGCAGGTTACACAGCTCATGGATGTCCTGCCAGCAGAAGGCTGGCAGATTTGGTGGAGTTTTGTTTAGCTTGCGCTGCCGACACGCGAGTGCAGCGTCCGGGGGGGCGTTCGAGATCCCCTGACACCCGAGACGGCGGCTTCTCTTCTGGAGGTGGAATTCGAGACGTGGCTAGAAACAGGTCCAGCTGCATATTTTTAGTGTGTGGGTTTCGTGCAGGTTGGGAATATAAGAGACAGAGGTGCTGGTTGAGTGAATGCGATCCCAAAGACTGAGCTAGTGTTGCTGCTCTCAGAGAAGCAGTTTGCAAAGCAATAAAATAACTGTAGATCAGTGTAAAGTCTACTGGCATCGATAGCCTAAGGAGGAGGGTTTGAGCTTGGTGGCCTGTCTTAGTGCACCCTATGGAGAAGTCATTCTCCAGATGACTCACAGCAATGCGGTGTAATCTTTGTCTCTTTATTCATAAAGTTATCAGTGTGAGCACATGTATTTACACATAATGCATTCATATATATGCATATGTGCACATATAAATGTATGTATTTGCGTGTGTATATAAATATGCATGTGTGTGTATACATATATATATATATATGTGTGTGTGTGTGTGTGTGCACCTTCCAGGACATGAAATTTTGAAATGCTGCTGGTTGGACAAATTAACTGGCGTTTTGAGCTAGAGGTAAATCATCAGAATAGTCTTTTTTCTTCTGGGCTGCAACAGCAGCTTCTGCTTAGTGATGTGCTGGGGGCACCTCTGTTTTTTACACTTGTGTTTCGGCATGTGTCCTGCTGAGATGCCATTTCTTTTCCGCACACTGATTATGTTTCTTTTCTTTGCAGAAAAAGAGGAAGCTGTTATAAATGGAGAAGATGAGAAAGAACAGAAAGATCCCTATTTTGTGGAAACGCCTTACGGCTACCAGCTAGACTTGGATTTTCTGAAGTACGTGGACGACATACAAAAGGGGAATACCATTAAGAAATTAAACATACAGAAGAAGAAGAAAACGATACCGGCCCCTGCAGGCACCAAGAACCCTGCTGGGCAGTACGGTGGCTGGACCTCCACCGAGTCCCTCTCCTCATCCAACAGTGATGAGAACAAGCAGTCGTGCGTGGCCTCAAGGAGTCAAGTAGCCCCATCCGTCGCAGTACGGCCATCCATTTCCTTCGAAGCATCTTCTTCCTACCTAAATATCCCCGAGAGCAAGCAGCTTCCTCCTCCCTCCCCCCAGCTTCCCCGGCACAACCTCCATGTGACAAAAACACTCATGGAAACACGGAGGCGTCTAGAGCAGGAGAGAATGATGCAGGTCACACCAGGAGAGGTCCGCCGGCCGCGGCTCTCCAGCTTTGGGGGCATGGGCTCGACGAGCTCGCTCCCCTCGTTCGTGGGGTCCAGTGGGTACAGTCACATGTCCCAGCAGCTTCAAAATGGGTATCAAGGTAATGGAGACTACGGGGGCTGCTTTGGCTCCTCGCTGGGCGGCTCCATCCGCCACAGCCCGATGAGCTCGGGAATATCCACGCCGGTGACCAACGTGAGCCCCGTGCATCTGCAGCACATCCGTGAGCAAATGGCGATTGCCCTGAAGCGTCTCAAGGAGCTTGAAGAGCAAGTCAAGACCATTCCTGTTCTCCAGGTCAAAATTTCGGTGTTACAGGAGGAGAAGAGGCACATGATGGCGGAGCTCAAAAGCCAGAGGAAACCCAGTCAAAATGAGGTGTTTGGTTTCAGAAAGCGGTCTTACAGCGCGGGCAATGCGGAGCAGTGGGAGCACCTGTCTCAGGTCAGGCGAGGGGGGGAGCTGTATATTGATTGCGAGGAGGACGTGGAGAGCATGGAGCAGAGCTCTCAGAGGATAGAGGAGTTCAGGCAGCTGACTGCTGAAATGCAGGCACTGGAGAAAAAAATCCAGGATACCAACTATGAAACTCCAGCAAATCTTAGGGTGAACAGAGAGAGCCTCACGAAGGAGAGCAGGTCTATTGCTGTAGGAGCTGATGAAAACATGAACGATGTGGTCATATACAACAGGTCTTTGAGGCAATACAGAGAAGTAGCGGTGGGAACAGAGAAAGAGACGAAGGAGTCTGGGGTTGGGGTAACAGAAGCCATGCTTGGCTTGTCTACAGAGGTTGAGAAGGAGATAGAGCTTCAGCAGCAGACCATAGAAGCTCTTAAGGAGAAGATCTATAGACTAGAAGTTCAGTTAAAGGAAACTACGCATGACAGGGAAATGACCAAACTGAAGCAGGAGCTGCAGGCAGCAGGAAATAGGAAAAAGGTGGATAAAGCCTTGATGGTTCAGCCGCTTGTCGTCAGCAGAATGGTGGAGGCTGTGGTGCAAACAAGAGACCAGATGGTGGGTGACCATGTGGACGTTGCTGATTCATCGGTGGGGAACCATCTCCAGGTGTGCAGCATTGGCACCTCCTGCAGGCCCGTTGTGCAGAGTGCTGCCGTGGGCCCCGAGGTGCTCATGAGTCGGTGGCTCGCGAAGGAGCGAGCCGAAGTGCGAGACCAGTGCACGGGCATGTCCGTGCAGATGTCCGACAAGAAGGTGGGTGCCAAGACGCCCGTCCGCGAGGCAGGCGTCAACACAGAGGAGCCCATGGACGACACGAGCTCCTGCGAGGCACCGTCAGGGCGGTGCGTGGCGCGGCGACGCGGCAGACCAGCGCGGCGGTGGAGATGGTGAGCCAGGGCACCAGCACGGACGCGGCCTCGCTGTCTGACTGCGGCACCAACACCGTGCTGAGCAGCTATGACAAGCAGACCAACACGGCGAGCGTGGAGACGCGGACCGTGGCGGTGGGAGACGGACGGGTGAAGGACGTGAACGCCTCGGCCAAGACCCGCTCGGTTGGGGTGGGAACAGTGCTTTCCAGTGTTCCAGGCTTTGAAAAGCCCTCTGCAGTAAAGACCAAAGACTGCGGCGTGGGGCAGATAAGCATCAACGAGAACTACCTGGTTGGCCTTAAGATGAGAAGCATTGCGTGCGGGCCCCCTCCGCTGTCTGCCGTGCCGGCTGGCACCCGGAGCATTGGGGTTGGGGGTGAGGCAGTTGGTGAATCTGTGGGCACCCTCTTGGAAAGGCCCCTGCCTCCGCCGGAGCTGAGGATTGGCCTGGATCACTACATCGAGCGCGTGCAGAAGCTACTGCAGGAACAGCAGATGCTGCTTGCAGAGAACTACAGCGAGTTGGCAGAAGCCTTTGGGGAGCCGCACTCCCAGATCGGATCCCTCAACTCGCAGCTTCTCAGCACGCTCACGTCCATCAACTCCGTCATGAAGTATGCCAGCACGGAGGAGCTGCGGAGCCTGGATCTGCAGAAGCAGGGCATGGACAGAAGCACCGCGTCAGGTAAGCCGGGTGCCCAAGTGTACATACATTGGTTGCCCTTCTTGGAAGTTTTTTGCTTGTCGGTCTAGAAGCAAGTGAGGAACCTTGTCTGATGAATGCAGCACGTGGTGCTGTTGCAGCAACATCCACCTGTATTCTGCCCAGTCCATCAAGGATAACTGGAAATGAAAGTGGGAAGGATATTCACCCCTGCATATTCCTCCAGAGCCTCTAATGGCCCTGATGAGGCCACTTGATCCCAATGAACGGTCAAGTATTTGATATGTGAGGGGTATGTAAAAGCATCCAGAGAGTCTGACCACCAGGCAAGATACACTTTTTACAACTTGAAGAGTATCTAATATCTGTGAGTTTAGGATTTTGTGCCACCTTTGAAGCTGGCCATTTCTTTTTAAATTGCAGTTAGTCAGATTTGACAGAGCTGTAAGTGGCATTCCACTTCTGTGCCAAACTGCCTTGTTTTCCCCAGATGTTGCTATTTCCCTTCTGTTTTCCTCGTTCTCTGCTCCTCGCAGCCGGGGAGTCATGGGGTGCTCTCCCCACTCCAGACACATTGGTTGCTTAATGATGGGCAGCTCCAGAGCACTTCACAGAAACCACAGCTTGCATCTTCTCCCTTCCCGTAAGTGTTTGAACTAATCCCTAATTACAGCCCCATATTTGAAAGGTGTAAGCTGTAATCATTGCTGGACGTTTTGATGACACTCAGCAAAGACAGAAATTGAGATTGAAATGCTTCCTCCATTTTACTTACTAATTTAAAAATCTAAATAATTAATTTGAGGGATTTCTTTTTATTCCCTGGGGTAAAACTGATGCTACATGATATTTACTCAAGATCTAGTTTCTAATTCAGCACCTATGATACAGATACATTTCCATAAGTTTTCCCCATTCCCTTTACCTCACCTCTGCCATAGTGTGGTAGGATAAAGCAGTCACTGCTAGTAATTACATAATTGTTTTCAATAAGCCAATAAATTATAACATATACATTTGACAATACTGTAGCTGGATTTACCTATAATATATTACAGAGAAAGGTTACGCTTTCAACTATCAGACATGCACCAAAAAATGGAAGCATTTATGAAGCAAACCAACGTTTTTAGGTTCCAATAGTAAAACAGTAAGCAACATTTATGTTAGAAGTAAAGAAAAGATATGATATCCTATCTCTGTGCATGCATTGTGGTTATTATATATATATATATATAATATTACCTTTCTAGTATGCATTTTATGCTTTGGGCTTCTTGAAAATAGCGATGCAGTAATAATAACAGTATCCAGCAAACACTGAAAAGTGAGCTTAAAAGCAATGAGCCAAAATTTTCAGTAGCTGTAATTCCTTTCTCTGCTTTTATTGTACCATGTCAAATGCATAGGCTAGAGGCTTGAAAGTATTTAGACACATGTGGATCATATTTTACTAAAGATGTTCTTAAGTGGATTCAGATTTCACATTCTTGCCAAAATTATTTTGGAATAATTTGGTTTAGCATGTAATGTCATTATCTTTAGCAGTGGATAATAAGTGCAAAATCTCTTTATTTTTAGTTGCTGGTGAGGGTTACATGTTACAACTGGGTATGTCAGTTGAGCTCTGGTCTTAATACTTTAGACCCATGTAGCTTCCTACATCATCAGTGAAATTTCTTTCTGTTAGTTTTGAAAATATTCCTTTACTACACTTATCTGCTTGTTCTGCTATGTATTTCTGTGATTTTGCAAATCATGTCTTCCTTTTTGTTAAAAAGGCTCTCTCCCTTCTTGCTGATTAAAGCACCAATATAAACAAGCAGTTTTGCAAGTACCAGAACTAATAAAGCATTTTTTTTACCATGAATTGGTATCTCATGATCGCTTGTGAGCTCTTATTAAGTATTTACTCACATTTGAGTCTCTTAGATATACCTTTCTTGGTGTCTCATGTGTTCCCTGAAGCAGCCTTTTTTTTCCAGGCATAGTTTCCTGGCCTGTTTTTTCTAAAACTTGTATAAAAATAAAAATTCTGCAGAGCTGAACTGTCAGTTACTGAAGGAAACATGATTTCACAAGCCTTGATTAGAAAAACAGGCTGAAAATAGAGGCAGAAACAGTTGGTTTCAGGTTAGCAACAGCAGTATCATCTTTAATATTTTATTTAAAGACCATTCTTAGCAAGCACCACTTAGAGGCAGGCCAGTTTAGTGCAGGAATATCTGAACTACGTCTGAGGCCAGTAGTGGGGGGTCCTAGAAGAACAACTGCTCAGATCAGTTTGCTGTGTTTCAAAAGTTATTTGTCAGCACTGCTTCTGATACTTGAGTTAATACATCAGTCTAGGTGTCTTATGGCTGTGCAGACATACTCTTGGCTTTTGCTGATTTTATATATGTATATATTTGTGGCACTGTGAAGAATGGGATGTGTTACAGAGAGGTGCATCATCTCACAGTAGGTGTGAGTTTATGATAGCTCGTGGATGGAAAGCCCAAGCACAGGATTAAGTTTAAACATGAAGCTTGAACCTTCCCAAGTCAGAACCTGAGTTTGAAATCTCGCTGATGCTGGAGCTTGCATTCATAGAATCAAGTAGACCTGTGAGATGATCCTAGAATTAGGGTCGAGTGGAATTAGCAATTGGCGATTGTGTGTTGCAAAATAAACACCCTTGCTTCCCTGACAAAGTACCTCATGTTTACTTACACATTGTGTTCCAGAAGCCCTAATAGCTTCAGGGAAATGAAACCTGCTTTCCATACAGGCCAATTTCCACTCTGCAAGTTGATTTTTAGCCAATATTGGAGCTTTGTCTGCCTTCAGCTGGACCCTGCCACTGTGGGAGAAAAGCTAGATGCCTCCTGGTCTTTATGCCTGTCAGTCTAGACACTGTACATGACAAGTGTATTCCTTTTATCCATCTTACTGTCACAGAATTCTTGAGGTGTTTTATAAAGTTACATTTGAATACATGTGTTTTGCAAAACATCAACTAGAGGCCTAGTGGAATATTTGTAGTCTTTGGTTACATATTCACAAAAATGTCCTACAGACCAATGCAATATACAGGCGAGGAGTTTGCTAGATTAGTAGTTACACACAACTCCTCTGTTCTTGCCCTGAAAAGTTTTTGGTGCATATTTGGCCTAAGAATGCATGATTATTGTGCCTTTGTGATCTTCAGAGTATCCGTTTTGCATTCACTTGTGGGAACAACACTGTCCAAAGAGCCCTGTGAAAGCATTGGACTAATCCTCAGAACGTAACTTCTTGAAATAGGCACTTGAGGGATTGAAAGGAAATGAGGAGCAAGTGGTGACAGGAAGCCTCACAGGAGAATATGATATGCCATCTGGTAAAAAGATCTCCTGAGGTTTTGAGCTGTCACGTTTGCCCAGAGCTGATGAGGCAGGCTGAGGGATGATGGAACTGGAGGGGGTATTATGGTGTGGGATGCCGTTGAGATGTCCGAAGCTGGTGCGCAGCAGCTGGTATTTTTGGCACTGCAGCAGTAGCATGGTTGTATTGCTCCCCGCCTTCACAGTATCAGCAGCAAGCAATTAGAGAGCTGTTTTCTCTTTACCAGGCTTCATTGTGTCAAAGTTTATAGTCTCTTTCTCAAAGATGGTTAGCATGCCCAAAGAGGCTGTGAAGTCTCCTTCTCCGGAGATCTTATCAGAGCCCTCAGCTTCAGCTCTGCAGCTCTTCTTGTAGATAGCATTTCATAACCACCAAGTTAATTTTCCCTAAAAATGGGCTTGTTTGTGGAATGAGCAGCATCCATCCTTCTCTCTGCTGGGAGAGGAGAAATGGCAGATGTGAAGCGTTTTGCATTGGTGAAAAACGGTCATGCAGATGGTCCCATCTGTGTGCCAGTTGAGTATTCATTTCTTCACATGTGGCCAACAGGAATTTCAAATAACACAACATCTCGTGTAGTATTTTTTTATACGGAAGGTGATACCTACTGACCTGCTGTTGTGGTGCTGGCAGTCACCACAGTAAGTGAAGTCCTCATGTCCCCATGTTATTTGAAAACTGTAGAGACCTTGTAGTAAGAGCTGAGAGTTAAACTGGATTTTCCATTTTATATACACTCAGAGGGGAAGTAAAGATCTGGTCTGTAATGGTTCTGTAAAGATCTGGGCTTAGCTGTTCTTATTCTAGTCCATCTCCATAGGCCTTTTTCAAGAGGTTTGACATACTTGCCCTGGTTATGTATTAACAGAAACTTATAATGAGATTTTGCAAGTCTCAGTTCCTGTGTTCAACAGGCAAATATAAACTTTCTTAATAAGGTGGTTGCTGTTTTTTTTCCAAGGAAGTGCTGGGTTATTTCAGCTATGATAAAGCATCAGCTGAGAATGATCAACTTCTCATAAACAAGGAAAAAGAAAGAAAATCTGTCATATGACCTTTCCTGCTGTGCATGGCATCATGAGATGCTTTGATCTGCCACTCATCAGCCAAATGAAGGATGGCCTTCACATAGCTGCAGACACAATTTTGCTGAAATAAGAGTATTTCGTAAATGAGCTGATTAGCTGCTTTGCAGAAATGTCATTTTTGCTTTCACTCTTACTATAGTCATCCTATTAAAAAGAGGATTTCTCCTGGAGCTGAATGGTATTGCTACATGGTCCCAAGTAAATTTGGCACTATCATTTTCTATCATTTAATCATTTTAATTAATAACTTGGTTTTATATGGCTTCGTTGTTGTTTTGTTCTGAGTTTTTAAATTCACCATTTTATAGCCCTGAGTGGCTCAAAAGTACCCGCTAAGTGGAAATAACTGTTAGTCTTCTGAAGATAATGCTTCATATGGTGAAAGGGTTCATATCAATCTTTGAATATTTAAGCATAACATGTTTACTTATCGCTGCCTTTTTCTTTATTTTAGTAGAGTGGATTTGTCTCATGAACAGTCCTGATGTGTAGACCAGATGGAAAGTGTGTTAAAAAGATGCATTTATATAAAAATAACTTCTCAAGAAGAAAGCACCTTAACAAGATTTAATATCACTACAGACAACTAAATGTTCTTCAGCTGCCATGATTTCATAGGGAATTCAGTGCTATTGTGACAAATTCCTGTAGATAATGTGTAAGAGAAGAAATTCCTTAGTGCATATGCTCCAGACAACATGTATGTTCTATCTCGTGAACAGAAAATATATGAATTCCACTACTGCCTTGGTCAGTGCAAGTATTTATTTGCACAACATGTTGACCAAGAGGTTAAAAATAAAATCCCTGTGTGGTTACTGCATAAGCTTGTGCCCTTTTTTTAGATAAAAGCCTGTGATGTTCCAGAGAGACAGCCAGGGTCTCATCCCTGTGGTATTTAATTCCGCTGGCTTCGTTTGCGCTTCTCTTGATTTGCAAAAGTACTATCAAGCCAAGAGATTTTTATAGTCTGACTTGGATTTCCTTCCTTCAAACTAAATGAGCTTTTTCAAAAGCTGGAAAAAGATACACTTTTTATCATCATAAGCTCAGCACTGTCCCAAGAAAAAGCAAATACTGTTTAAGTTCTCTGAACTTGCTGTCTACGTGATTCAGTAGCATTTACACCGTCGTAAGGGGAGGGACAGCCTGCAGTTAGAAAGCATGTTAGCAGTAGGGGTGGGTGCATTTCTTGTCAGATAATTTGATGCTGGTGTATAGTATTCCTGCAGTCACTTTGGTTTAAACTGATGAGTTTTTCTTTTGAAATGGGCATGAATGATTTAGCAATAGAAACACCATCTGAAAAATTATAAACTGACACATCTGTTTCCTCAGATCATCGGGATTAGTTGCTAAAGACACTTGAGGCACTTCTTTCCCCCTCGAATTGAATGCAGTAGATTTTGCGTGTGTGTGTCAGATCAGCTTAGGACTAAGGGCTTTTTTTAAATTGTTGTTGTTCTGTCAAAACACCTTATGAGTAGCAAACATTAACAACTCTGTTAAGAGAATGGGTGCACTGGCCAGTTTATGGACTGGAGCTGTTTTGGGGTGCTTGTCCTCCAAGCTTTACCTCGTGCTATCCTGTCAGGTCCTGGGGACTAGTCAGGACTCTTTCTGGCTCATTTTAAGCCATGTTTGCACCACACAATATATTTCGACGTTTGCACGGTGCAATATAGTGTGACACATGTCTGGTCTTTAGCTCCAGCCCCTGGAAAAGATGCGGGCTGGGAGGGCAGAGCAGCTGGACGTGGGTGGGGAAATGGGAAGGAAGCTGCACGGTGATAACTTTTGGAAAAATCAACTTTTACTATGTCCTGTCAAAGGAAGAAAGTCATAGGGGAAAAGAAGTTGGGTGTGAAGCAAGAGGGAGGAAGGCAGCCTGGCAAGAGCACTGGAAATATCAGCCCTGTTTCTTTTTTTTAAAGTAAAGTATTTGGAATTTACGTGAGTACAACACTTCAGTGTCGTGTTCTGTACCACTCTTCTATTTGAAGAAGGAGGCTATGGCTTAATTCTTGATAAATGCAAGGGGAGGAAAAAATGTTGAGAGGCAGCTGTAACTGAAGCAAGTTTTGAAACAAAAAAAGTGTTTTTTTTTTTTTTTTGGTAATAAAACTCATATTTTTAGAGCAGCCATAATAGCACAGCTGGAAGAACTCCTGGGAAACATGTAAAAATCTGTGTGTGATTAGTATTGCTATTTAAAAACACAAAGGGGAAAAAATAAAGGAATGTCAGCAAATTAGCTGCGTAACTAAGCAAAGTGTCTAAGTTTCATGAATAGTGGAATACTAGCAAAAATAATGATTCCTGAAAAGTTCCTGCCTTCATGGAAAATGTTACTTCTTTTATTAAAAAAAAAAAAAAGGAAAAAAAAAAGAAAAAAGTTACTCTTCCTGAAGAAGGAATGAGCGCTCTCCCCAATGTCTGAATGTTTTTCAAGCATCTCCCTAAAGAGCAATTCAATGAGCCTGCCCTTAATCAGGGTGGCACCAGTTGCAGTCCGGTCCTGCCTGTACTGAAAGAGAAGGAAAGGATATTCCTTCCATGCCCTTTTGAAGCTGCTGTCTTTATAGCTTTTTCCTTGTATTGTGCATTCTCATGGAAAGGGAAACTCAGGACTGTTTGTTAGTTTCTGGGAGTGATCACACTTTCTTATTTTTTTTCGGTCTCCTGGATTTTCAGAACAGGGCAGTATGAAGTGCTTCCTTTTTTTGTATGGCTATTTCAGGTTTTTCTGCTGTTTTCAAAACCTTTATGTAAGGGTTTCGACCCCACTCTGTCGTGCTCAGAAACCCCCTCCGCCTTCCCCAGCAGGTCCTACTCTGGAGTACATCCCCCACGGACAACTCGCAAACACCCATCTGGCTTCAAACCTGCAAGCCCTGAAGCTGGAGCAGGACGTGGGGACGGTGCAGGAAGAGAGGAAGGCGCCTCTGGGCGAAGCCGTCCGGGGACGAAAATCCTTCTCCGCTCAGGACAAAACTCTGGCTCCGATTAACCTTACAGATGATCAGCTGGCTTCTGGCCTCTATGGTAACCTCTGGATTAGATGCACTTTTTTTTTTTTTTTTTTTTTTGTGCTGATGGAGTTTGAATATGAAACATAGTTAAAGCAAATTGTGAAGATTCTCAAAAATGTGAAGGCAAAATGCATGCAGGGAAGAAAAAAGAAAAGTTATGGCAAATGTTACTGGGAGTCCCCTTTGCCCAGCCAGCAGTTCCTTTTCAGATGGCAGGTGAAAGGATATGCCCAATGTAAGTTTTGTTCAATGTCATCCTAGGCAAAACCAAAGGAAATCTGAGAGGAATGTGATTAAGCGTTTTTTTATTTATGAAAATTATGAAATTTGGTTTAGATATTTTTTTTTGTCTTCCTGTTTCATGCTCACAGATTGGTTTAAAAGTCATTTCAGTGAATATTAAATTCAAAAAAGAAAAAAAAACTCAACTGAACCTCCTCACCTCATTGGATAGCCAGTGGTTAAATATCCTGGCTTTGATTCCGGGAATAAACTGCTGATATTTAACCTTAAGGATTAGGTTTGTCTTGAGGCAATCTTGTCACACTTGGAAATGTTCCTTTATGCTTCCAGTGTGCCTGTAGTACCAGGACGGTGTATATATAAAGATTATTTTAAAAATAAAATGATAGAACATTAAATTCTTTTTAATTTATTTTTAAACTCCAGCTAAAGTTATTTGTTTTGAAGAATGGTTGGAAGCAGCCAGAGTTGGTGACAAATTTGTACTGATGCATATGTTTTCTACTCTCCTCAACAGTATGTACTAATAATGAAAATACGCTGAAATCTATCATGAAGAAAAGGGATGGAAAAAAGGATTTGAATAATGCAAAGAAGAACCTACAGTTTGTTGGCATAAATGGCGGGTAAGTGGCCTTTCCTTAAAAAAAAATAGTCACTGGAGTACTTTCACTCTTGGAATCTGGGGAAGGAAGGAAAAAAAATGAGAGTTTATGAGTTAATGTATACTTGTTGCCTTTACTTCAGACTGAAACTCACTTGTTGATCTGAACAGTAGGAGAGAAGGATTAATCATTTAAGGCCGCCTTAATCTTCTGTCAGCCTTTTATGTGTGTTTATTGTGTTAAGTGGAAGTTGTCAGTCAAACTTGGAATCAATCTTAAATACTTGTATATTAGGTCACTGCCAAATTTAACAGAAGAAGATGAAACAAAAAGGCACCCAGGGGAATATTTCTCAAATGATGTATTAGTACATAAAACTTTAAAATGTTTTTTGCAGTCTACCTAAGCACGCTAGTGTTAGTAGGAAAATGAGATATTTTTCTAATAGCAAGAGAAGGGCTTGTCTAAAAATTAATTTCTCTGGATTTGTGCTAGAGAAATGTAAAAAAAATCTAAATGCTGAAAACAGTTCTTCATTTGAAATTCATTTTGAAATATTGCTTGCCATTTGAAGAAAGTTACAGAGGACTTCCACATACATCTGCTGAATCATTTCTAAATAGCTTTGCTAACCTATTCCTCGAGTTAGTTTTTTTACTAAATTCCATGTGCAATATATGTAGGCTAACTACTGCAAATTTTGATCTCATTCATATGAGTTAAAACTGTGATTACTTGTAGTAGGGGGTTTTGTCAGTTGTGTATTATTGTTGCACATCAGAAAAGTAGGCTGGTTTACCTTAGCTTATTAGCTGTTGAGGTTCAAGTTATGGTAGGTGACAGAAAACAGCCTTATAGTTGTCTAGACCACTAGACAACTAGGTTCTTCACTTAAAATCTCTCAAAAAAAATCACTGTAAAGATTTTTTTTTCAATTGTAGCTCTTGTCTTTACTTGGGTTTCTTGGCTCCCTGCTTCCCACCTGCCTAGGAAGACAATAATGAAGATTTACTCTCTAAGTAGAGGAACATTTTTTGGGGCCATCCACAGGCAGTGCCTGATGAAGTGTCAGACTTTTGTTAAAATAAGCTTCTCCTCTGCCTTCTTTCATTTTACAAGTGCACATATAATATACACAGTGTCAGCATGAGGGGATTTATGGAGCGACCTCAATTGGCAGTGGCACTTTAATAAGCAATCTTTGCTATTTAAGGAAGGAATTTTTTAAAAAAAATTGAATTTTGTTCCTTTCAGGTCAAAACTACACCACACTACACTAAGAATTTTTTTCCTGGTGTTACATTAGTACTCCAGTAAAAACTGCAAGCAGCAAAACGCTGTTTCTGCTGTTCAGCTAGTCAGAAACTAAAATTTTTGGATTGCTGGAAGTATGTGACCATGGGCATATGTGTTTTCCCGAGTGCTTTTTTGCAACCACCTGCTGATGGAAGCCCCCCAAATCTGTTTTCTTTGGGCTGTCCGAGTGGCTAACAAGGAATCGCCGAGTGCTTTGAGGGGAAAAAGCCGGGGAACGGGCACATCCGCAGGCTGCTTCATGGTTGCCTCTCGGCTGCCCGACTGCGAGGCCGAGGAGGTGGAGATCCGGGAGAGGTAGGCCGACGTTCCCTGCGGGAAGGGCCTGGCGTCGTGCCAGGGCAGCGCGTTTTGGCTGTTCGTTGTTTGCGGAAACACCGCGCTCGGCACACCGAGGTTCGCTCGTACGAGTCTGATGGTTTCCCATATCTGTTATCTGCGTGCGTGCGTTAAAAATGCTGCCATATGTGGCAGTCGGTGGTGGCTGGAGATGGATTTTTGGCCAAAAGTTGCTTTGTGAGAGCGTGTCGGAGGCGACCCTTTCTGCCATCCGCGGCACCACGCACCTCGAGCAGGGCTCGTTTGGAGCAGACCATGGCTTACTAATGGCAGAGCCTGCCAAAACTAGAGTAAATGACTGGGTCTTGAGTCTTGCCCATGAGGTCAGCAGCCTGCTTGCAATTCATCTCATGTTCCCACCTCTGGCATCATCTTACGCACAGCCCACCACACATGGTGGGTTGCGGAGAGATGGCCCCAGGAAACTGCTATAACACCCAACATCATTTAATAGCCAAGCTTCTCATCAAATTGCTGCGTAATGGGCTGTATTAGACACCATTTGACAGGCCAGGCTGTGTTTGGCCCATGGAAAGCTGTGGTGCAGTGTGTTTTGACTGGCTCCTGATTAGTGAATGCGCAAAAAGAAGTATAGACCACAGAGAAATACCTAGTGAAGGGATGTTTTATAGATGGAGAGAATGCTAAATATTGAGAAGTGTGCAAGCTTGGGAAATTACGTGAGTAAAATAATAACAGTAAAAGAGTAAAGAAAACATTAGTAAGACATATATCACCGGAGCTACAGCTTAGCAGCAAAGTGTTTATGTAATTATCAACTGCTAAGTGAAAGGGATGCAGACATAATTAAGGGCTAATCAAGGGCCTGCAATTTTAAAGTGCTCAAAGTAGCCATCTAACCTGTATTTGACATAGATGATGGCAAGGAAGGGCAGGAGGACTGTTTAGGTAGAAGAATAAACAGTATTTCCAATTCTTAACCAAATAATCAAAACACAGATACGTGTTCTGCAGTAAGCACAGTAGATACAAGCTTCCACTAGAAGGGGATGACAAGTCTACAATGCAGAAGCAGCCTGTTGCCTGCTCTATATTAATGTTGATCCTCCCACAAACATCTGGAAAGTGAACTTTTGGCCCATATCCATGTCTGCTCTCCATATGGAGAGTCCCCAGTGATGAGGGGTGTCAGGACGGATTCTGAGTTTTGGCAGTTTATGGCGTGCCTAGAAACGTTCATCCTCACGTTAATTTTGGAAAGGTAAATGTTTTTATGTGGCAGGAGAAATGTTTGTGTGCTGTGAACTTCTGCTGTCTTTTTCAGATACGAGCTCAGCGAAAAGATGCTGTCCGCCTGTCACCTGCTCAGAAACAACATTGATGACCCCAAGGCCTTGACCAACAAAGATGTGGTAAGTGGCGCAAAGCAAAGCTCCCCTGAACTGCTGCAGGGAAATTTCAGGGAGGGATAACTGCTTGTTTTACAGGACCCGTGCTGCAGCAGGCAGAAGGGGGTATAATCTTCCCTGCAAGAGGGAGAAAATGACTCTTTTTTCTTTTTTTTTTTTTTTTTTTAATGAAGAGACTTCTGGCTAGAGGGTGTCCATGTGCTCCATGTTCTGGGCTGTTGGCCTTGCAGGGCACACGTACAGAAACAGTAATGTGAAAGTGCGGTTCCAACACACCCGTGCTTTGCCCTGTTATTTTCCCATGAGCTTTTTTTAGCCCAGCTGTAGGTGGCACACAGGCCTCACTTTAGGAAAATGCACAGGGCGAGGAGACAGTTTCTTTCCGTGACAAAAGCAGAGCTGAACGTGCTGAAACTGAACGTGCTCTGCCTCTCTCCAAGCACAGCAGTGTGTGCTGCCTCTGTCTTGCTCGCTACGCTGATGCCCTTAATGGAGTGCAAGAGAGACAAAGGATGATTCACTGCTAGTATTGACTTTCAAGAACTAGTGTTGTGTTTGCTTCATGTAGAAATTGCCATGTTGTTTTGCGAGGGCATACTGGAAGCAAATGAATGCCAGTCGCTGCTTGGTGATACGAAATTGCATTTTGCATTTGTGATAGTGCTGCTGTGATGTAAAAAGTAATAATTCCTGTGCCAGGCTCCTCTGTCATGGAGCATCTGCAGATTTTTAAGGACACTGATGTTATGTACGTCTGCTTCTGACATTTGCAGGCCAGGAAATGTTTTGTAAAGCTTGGTTAATACAAGAGTGAGAGGTAACTTCCAGTGCTGTGTCAGTCCTTCAGGAGTAACTTTGGCATTCAAACAACAAATGTTTCAGGCCCACTGAGAGTTGAAAGTGTCAAAAAAGGCGTAATCAGGTGATAATTTCTGCTCTGGAAGTGTAATTTAAACTTATGTTTTAGTTTCTTCAAGTATTCAGCAGCACAAATGGGTCTTTGTAGCTGGAAACAGCAAACTGATCTGCTCTTGTTCTCCATATCTCTGCTTTGAAGGAACCCGTGACCAAAAAGGGTAACCTTTAGTACAGTGAGGGATCTGTGTAAATTGTCCCAGCCTTTTCCATTGTAGCTGCTGCTTACACCAGGAGGAGCTATGGACTGCTGTCTGGTTACAGAATACTTGAGTGGAAAAGAATTTGTATCCTTTACTTCTAATGTTTGTGATTTTCTGACAAGAGGTAGATTGAACTGTATTTTTTTTAAGAACAGAAGTACTGATTAGAGATGTGGAAAATATTATCCCCTTCCAAGACATGGGGCTGCTTGCACAGATCCACAGGATTTTCTGTAGGGCCTGGGAGAAAGCGATGATTACCTGTTTTACAGAATCACCCCAGAGCTGATTGACCATTTTGCAAGTGAGGGTTTCTGTGAAGAGCTACAGGGTGCCATGGTCCTTCCAGCTTGTAGCAATAACAGTCTCAGAGAGCTGGACCTGGCAGGGACTGCTCACAAGTAGGTCTGCAGAACCTATGTTGTTCCCAGTGGAGCGTTGTCCAGCCAAGGAGGCTCTCAGTCCATCCATACCAGTGAGAAGGTTTATCCTGAATGCACCTCCATGTTGCAGCTCCAGTCCCTCACTGCTGTCCAAGCCGGGTGTGAAGAGCAGGTTCTTTCATTTCTCTTTGCAATTGTGAAATGTTACTGAGTCCCTTTGCACCATTATTCTTTCAGCATCTCCGGTCCTTCCTGTCTTTCCTGCAGGTCGGCTTTCCTTATGACTTACAATCATCCCGGCTCCTCGCCTTTGAACACTTTAGGGCTGCATTCGGTGATCAGGCAGACAGGATAGTCCCACAGTCACCTTGCCGGTGCTAGGGACTGCATCACATGCCCTGCAAGCTGTGCATGTGTTGTTTCATCCTGATATTTGGGATTTGTTGTACATTTGCCTCGTACATCATGAAGGCTTCATCATGATCATGATGTTGACTCAGGTTCAGGTTGTGATCCTCGGTAATGCCTGGCTCTTCATCTGCAGAACTGCTCTCCAGTTGTATCTCCTGTCTTTTGCTAATGGATTTCTAAAATGGGCTAAATATTTTACAGAAATGATCAATTAGACTCTTATTTCTGTTCCCTTGTATCTGATACCCATTAGTTTTGGTGGTAGTCCCATCTTAAAAATTGCTTCTGTTGAACGTGTAACATTCCTAAAAATAAGTGAAATGAGAGGAGGCAAATAACTAGTGTTTTAAAGGAAGGTTTAGTCAGAGGGAGAGCATCAGTTCTTGTATCTTGTTTGTGATCTGAATACTTTCTGCCCACATTTGACTAAAAAAGGCCTCGCCTCCTGCATCACTGACTTGTCGGATGGAAAATCCTTTAAATAGAACGTGCATATGTAAATTTTTTCTATCTTGGTTTTGGCAGAGATTTTGTTTAAATACCATCCAGCATGAGTGGTTTCGCATCTCGAGTCAGAAGTCCGCTGTTCCTGAAATGGTCGGAGACTACATAACTGCCTTTGAAGAGATTTCTCCTGCTGTCCTCAGACACATAATCAATATGGCAGATGGCAATGGAAACACAGCTCTTCATTACAGCGTCTCACATTCTAACTTCGAAATTGTGAAGCTCCTTTTGGATGCAAGTAGGTTGACTGTTTTTTCAATTTTTTTTCATTTTTTTAAGTGCTCACAGGTCAAATTCGTGATGAGCAAGAGGATGAGTTAGGGCTTTTTCCAGCAGTAAAGCATTCTAAGTGTTAATGCTTATGTGGTGGCTCACCTGAATAATCTGGAATCGCTGATTTCAGTGCTAACTTTAGAGATGGTGGTGGTGGTTCTTGCAGAAGCTCCAAAAAAACCCAAGTAAATCATGAACAGAGTTGACCAGTTAGTCTGTAGGCTGACTTGAGTCACGCTGTCCTCTTAGCAGTTTTTTTTTTCTGGAAACCCTGCAGCTCCTGCTCAGCTCTTTGTGCCCAGACACAGGCAGGATTCATTCAGATATTTGTATTCATGCTAAGTACTCAAACTAGTCCTGCCTTAGCTTGCTGGAGCAGGATGTTTCTGGCTGCCACGCTGGTAGGTCTGTCCTACCCTCTGGACAAACTGGGACAAGCCCAGCAAAGTTTTGTGAATCCGAAAGGGAAAGCATCAGATAAGCAAGGATCTCGATGATACAGATCTGAGCGTTAATAATGCAGCGTGTCTGCTACCCTTGCAAGGCCTTCCTCGGCAGGAAAGCAAACACTGTGAAACTGCTGGGCCTGTTTGAGAGCAGTGAATCAGGTCCCGGGAATGCGGGGAATGTCAGGAGCACCGCACAGCCCCGGAGCTGGAGGAGCAGAGGGAGAGCAGGTGAGGAGCACGGCTCCAGGAAAGCTTCCCTCCTTCCCTTAGTCACGCAGGAAAGGCTGAGGGCAGTGAAATGGTGCAGTCGGGGCAGAAGGACTTCACATTCACTGGTTATTAATTGCTCACCAAGTAATGAACGTAGCAGAGTGCAGTGCACCCTGTTGCTTTGGTTCCTCCTTTATAGGAGCCATCCAGAGGTGAGTTTTGAAAGTGAGCTTGGATGTCTCTTCCCAAATACAGACATCACAGATGGCAGCTACAGAACATGGAAAATGTGCATATTCTTACAATTGCACTCACATTCCTTCTGCAAGTTTTTTTTCCCCACTTTTTTTTTTAAGTTGGCAATAATGCAAGGAATTTCCTGTAACACTTTTATTTATTAAGATGTCTGTAGTATAACTTAATCCTAAGTCAACAGATACTATGTATGCAAGTCTGTGCCCTTCCTTTCCCAAATGAGGAGCACATTCAGAGCCCTGCTGGCTGTTAAACTAATAAGCCCGGCTGGACCTCTGCAGAGTTTAAGGAATAGTGGGTTAAACTTGAATGAAAAGGAGAACTCTGACAGCTGCTGGCGCTTTGTCAGGGGACTAGGCTGTGTTTGTTCCCCGAGTGCCTTTGTTCAGAGTCAAATAGTCTGTGGAGCTGGAAACAGCCTTAATTGGAAGGTCTTTTCTGCAGCTCCAAATCATGTCAAAGTACCCTTTGCAGAGCTTTAAAATGGCACCAGTTACAACAAAATGTTTGTGCTGAGAAGTAACACTTTTGTTCGCTGTGTCGTTGAAACCCTTTTTCACTTTGCAAAATAGATCCCTCAGGAGAGGAGCGCAAAGTGGAGCGTCCTGATCTTTTTTTTTTTTGTAGGATTTGGACACAAGGATGCTTTGCTGTCTGATGGTCTTGCCAAATTTCAGACCACTGGCTTTTCGGGTTAAAATATGGTGCCTAAATGATGTCACACAAAGTATTTTTGTGTCCTGCCTTATTGTGCGCACATAACAGAAGAGAATCCTCCTCTGTCCCTGGCTCAAGAGCATCCCAGTTTATTTTTTTCATCCCCACTTTCCCTTGAATCGCTTCCATTTTCACACTGACTGCTGCCTCTGCTAACAGTTTATTCAGTTCACCAGCACAATTGCTGCTTTTTTTTTGCGAGGGGGGGTGTTTTCCTTGCTTTCCAAATAAATTATCTCATCCCCCTGCAGATGTCTGTAACGTCAATCACCAGAACAAGGCCGGCTATACCCCGATCATGCTGGCTGCGCTTGCAGCTGTGGAGGCGGAGAAGGACATGAGGATAGTGGAAGAGCTCTTCAGCTGTGGGGATGTGAATGCCAAAGCCAGCCAGGTCAGTGGAGCGCTTTGCAGGACGCAGCTCCAACCTGCCCCTCTCCCTAAGCCCCTCAGTCCCTTCTCCACCGCGTTGGTGCAGCCCTCGCACTGGTGCTTGGTGCCTCTCCGTGGTCCCGTGATCTTTCTCCGTGTGTTTTGGGTTGCTGTATTCGAAAGGGAGCCCCGGAGGAGCCGCTGAGCCTCAGGCGCCTTCGAAAACGAGTAACAAAGACTGAGTAATGTGTGAAAAAGCCATCCCTGAGTTTTGGGAGGCGTTTACAGAGTCTGTGGCATTTAGTTCCTTCTAAGTGGAGGAACCACTATAGGAACTCTATTAGTGGTAGGAACCACTCTAATTTAATAAATACCTGTGTTGGTGTAGAATATATTATGTATAAAAGGTATTTCAGTAAAGGCAAGCAGAAACTTGACAGTCCCATAGAAAACGATCATTCTTCCCCCCTGAGAAAGCACAGTACCAAATAAATAAATAAACAGAAGTGAGTGATCAGTCGTTGGTTGCCTGTGTGGTGATCTGGGCTTCTCCTCCTCCTCCTCTTCTGCAGGCTGGCCAGACCGCTTTGATGCTGGCCGTGAGTCACGGGCGGATAGACATGGTTAAAGCTTTGCTGGCCTGTGGTGCAGACGTCAATATCCAGGACGACGAGGGCTCCACGGCTCTGATGTGTGCGAGTGAACACGGACACGTAGAAATAGTCAAACTGCTGCTGGCTCAGCCTGGCTGTAACGGGACCCTGGAGGACAATGTGAGTTGCCTTTCCAGACGCTGCTTCATCACATAGTTTCTTCACTTTGGAATGTTTTTCTGACTTCGTTTTTTGATTTAGTGAGGAGTTGCAGAAATCTACTTAAGTGAAACTGTGACTCATATCCCCGAGTACCTAGTGCACGAATCCTCTGTTTAGTTGTAGGAAGTCCTGTGATGATTTGCTTTCTATCTTTGCTTTTCTAGGAAGCCTTCTCGGCAGTTATTTTTGTGCTTAGTGTTAGGTATACAGTGGCCAGAAGAGAACAATCTTCTGTTGGCTTATGATAGAACATCTTCCCTTCCCCATTTCCCAGGAGTTTCCTAATCCTTCATTAGGACTTTACTTGGTGAGTTAATGGCCTTGCTCTGTTGCTTTTCTGTGTTTATGGCAAATATCATCCCCAAACTTCTCTTCATGAGGTGAGATGTCCACTGAGTAGTCACACCATGACTTTGGTTTGGTCTCTCAGTCATTAAGCTGCTCTTGTGTTGGGGCAATAAACAGATGCAGGCCGTGACCTCAGTGCCACGTGTTTATTTCTTGGTTGGCAGAGCTCACTGGAGCCTGCACTGTAAACAGTCAGGATTTGATCAGTGGAGTGTTCCAGATTTACAACCTTGGCACAGCTTTTGTCTTAGCTGAGTGTTACTGTATTCTTGGAAAACGTTGGCTTAGCTTTTGTCTTAGCCAAGTATTATTGTGTTCTTGGAAACAACACAATTCCGTTTCGCATGGTTCATCCTCCTGCTGTCACCATCGAGCCAGGATTTCAGTGCAGTAGGCCCAGTAGCAGGACCAACCATCCAGCCAGTAGCTGAAATCTTCATGGGAGACCACAGTTGAGCTATTCCTGCAGGTAGTGTAACACTGTCATCCCAGCACAGCCTCCCTGCCTCTTGCTCAGTGGGTCTGCCCGTGCTGGGAGGTTCTGAGGTTTTTAACATTCCCGTCTCGCGAGCGGGGAGCCCTGGGAGAGCCGCGAGTTCTGGCCATGCGGGAAGGGCCAGGAGTAGCGGAGCGAGAGCCAAGTGGCACCGATGTGCTCTGCTGGCAGCTCAGAAGTTCACGGCCCAGCGTTTCTCACCTTTTCCCCACCAAGTCAGGGGACAGAGACCCAGAAAAAGCTACAAAAGTGAATGGTACCGAGCATGGTCCAAGGGGAAACTAGTGGGCCAGCGGATTAGCCTTTCACCTAAAGCAGTCTAAGAGACCCCAAAGCCATGATTCCCAGAAGGAATAGTATCTCCTGAGACACCAAGGTGGCACTTTCTGAGCAGGAAAGTGCTTTTATAGAGCAGCGAGGCTCCTGTGGAGGAGCATTTGGAGTTAGAAATGCACTTGCTCTTGGTGTTAACGGGAGTAGTAACAAACAATTACCATATCTGATTAATGCTTATCCCTCCCGTACCTTTCCTTCCCCTCCTCAGTGGCAGTGACTTTCCCTGAGACAGACCAATCTCCTGGAATCGCTGGTCTTACACAGCATTACATGTAACATTATTGTGGTAATGGCATGCTCGCTCCTGCTCAGCAATAATCTAGTCTCCTCGTTGAGAGAAATTATGAGGCCTCTGACAATTGGACTGCCTCATAAACCAGCGGCACAAGGCTTGTTGTCACTTAATTATGATAGAAGAAATTAAACAGGACTCTAAATTAACCCAGCTGTCTGAGCAGGAGGGCCTTCAGGAACTTGCCTTCTCCGCGGGCTGAGGGAGCTTTGGAGGGATCTGCTGAAGTGCACAAACAGTAATTCCCATGTTCCTTCCTTCCTTCCTTCTCTCAGGATGGCAGCACAGCACTTTCTATAGCCCTGGAAGCTGGACATAAGGACATAGCAGTTCTTCTCTACGCCCATGTCAACTTCTCCAAAACCCCATCACCGGTTAGTATACAGCCCCCTCTGTATAATGAACATGGATTGTGTTTTAGCTTGCTCTTCCTGAACATAATAGACAAACGTAAATAAGAAATCCAAAAAAAAAAAAAATTTGGCTTGCTATATTTGGAGAGAAAGCAATTTTGACTACATTGCAGGCTTTGCACATAAATGGTTCTCTCAGTCACTTATTTCTGCAGGCCAGCACAGGAATTTCCCCTTTATCCACAGAGTAATTTTTATGCTGGTAAGTAAATAAAAATTTAAGGATATGGACAGCAGTAGGCTGGTCACTAGCTGAGGGATATCCCCCTGCCTTTCCTCCTGGGGTGAGGATAGTTTACTAGCATTGGCTGGTGATGCTGGAGCAGCTGCAACGCTGAATACTGACCGAATCGCCAAAAAACGCTTGGTAACAGCTGCCCTAGGTGCTCTGTCAGGTGCTCTGGCTCACTCGTTGGATAAACTGAGGCTAAATATTTCACTGTATAAAGCACACGTGTTCTCTGGTAGTAGGCTGTGTGAGGGCTGGTGCTCCCCTTCCCCAAATGGGAAAAAAATAATAAAAATGAAAAAAAATATATCTGTGCAATAAGAGGAAGAAGGGCCTATGCTTGTGACTTCTGCATTCTCATTCTGCTTAGCTTGATTAATTGTTCTCTCCTCTTCTGTAGGGCACTCCGAGGCTTAGCAGAAAGACATCTCCTGGTCCTACCCACAGAACCACGTTTGAGTAGTAATGCATGAATATCTCTTAAGATTCTTAATGCCATCTTTAAGCTGCTAATTGTAACTGTTTAACTGAGACAGATACTGAATGTAATTGTCTTGTGCCTGAACTCACCAGCAAAGTGAAAGCAGAGACCTAGTGCTAAAGATAGAAAACTGTAAACTTGAAGCAAGCCTATAGTTAAGTAGTAGATGGCTGTAAGACCCGTAGCCAGAACTGTTCTTTTGCTCACTTACTCATCTTTCCACACATTGGCATAAATGCTGTTTTTCTTTGCTGTATATTGTCCTTTCCCACGTCATATACAGTTTAAGAACGTTAAGGCTATCCGTGGAAGGGTCCCAGTGGCATATTTTAAGTCGTTCTAAAATATATTTGTATTTGCTAAGCCTAGACTTTATCACAGTAACCTTCTTCATAAATTCCATTCCAACATGATTTTGATGTTTTTAATTATTTTGAAATCCAGAAGTTGCAGTTGCTTATATAGTCAGCTCCGCGGAGCTTGAGCTGGTGGGTGGATGGGTTAGGAATAGAGAGCAGACCCTCTGCCAGGTCTGAAGTTCACGAAAGCTGTTGCTTATTGGGGATATGTATAACTTTTTTTTATTAAAGATAACAGTATCTATAAAATTAACTCGCACAGTATTTTCAACATTTTATATTCTTTAATAATTAAAAACTACATGAAGAATTACATGTCTCGTTACCATATTTTTATTAACTGTGTCAGTCCATAAGCTCCATACATGTTTATTGGAGAACAAAATTAGAGGTACCAGCTATATATTCCCCTTGAGTGGAATTGAGTGTAGTTCTCGGTGCATATTTATGGAATGCTATTACCTTGTCACATTCACTTTAGTCATGTGTATTTAAATGTTTGAAGTGCCTTAGACTCTTGCCATATTTTCAGAATAAAATTTCATTATGCTGTTTTACTCCCCTCCCGTTTCCTGTGTGATTTGTCGTCGTCCCAAGACGCTGTGAGCGTC